TCATCAATCCACTATGCAAAACGTGGAGCAAAATTGCCTCTGAAGGTAGAAATGAAGTCGAGAGTAGTAAGCTAGAGTCCAAGTACTTCGAACCAAGGTGGCGCCCTTCAGACTTGACCAAGATGCAACGACGCAAACTTCAGCGTGCTTGTCGTAAGAAAAATCGAGCAAGAAGCCTAGAGTTTCTTGAAAGACAGCCCTATACAATATCGCCCTTAAAACAAAACAACTGATAGCTTGACATCGTTACTTTGTTGCTATGTGTTTTAAAACTCGCATATGCCTCGCTTTAAAAATAAGGAGCCATATGTTGACAGCAAAAAGGGCGAGATGAGGTTATATTTACTTGGGAGGTTGAGATGTTAGAAGTTTCGAGTTGCGTGAAACTCCCAGGTCTCGGGAGTTGGCTTGGGCGTCGGAAGTTCCAACGTTCCCTATTCGACTCTAGCTATTTCCAATTCGGATCCAAAGTCCTCCGATCTCATGGAAAACTCGCATATTGCATCCTTGGAAGGTTTCCATTGAGATAAGTCCACACCCTCTATATATATTACAGGGTCATGCCCGGTTGAGGCATTCAATACACAATGGACAAAATCAATCTACCTTACCTTTTTTATCTTTTATCTCAAGCTCTTCCAACCCTCTTGCTGGTCCATCACTTCTCTCGACGAGATTTGCCAGCGTTTTAAGTGACCTTGCCAATCCTAGAACACCCCCACCGTGCGTCCGGGAGGTGTTTGCAGGTTTCGCGGCGGAAGAACGAGCATCTAATTAGCCTCGTCGACCTACTGGTCGACATCGACGTTGAGATCTTCCTTCACTACGTGTGTGACCTCGAGCGATGCAGCCTCTATCGGTATGACCATAATCAGGGTCAATACCTACTAATGTATGGTCATCTAATATTATTTGTCATGACGAATATAAACGTCATTTTTCATATTGACACAATAGTGTACGTCCAAGCACTTGTATTGTAGTACATTAATCCCTTAATTCATCTGTAGAGAGTTAATTCATCATCAATTGGCTGCGGGTTAACGAATGGAACATCCGAACATGCATACGAATCTAATACAGGAGTGAGTATATAAATCCTATGTATATATGTAATAATATAATACAGGTAGCAGGCAGGCAGATTATTTGTTAACTAGGAGGTAGAGACGTGACGTATGCAGGCAATCTAAGTCGAAGTCGAAGTCAAAATCGAAATCCACCACTGAGATTTGTGATTCAGGCATCAGCCGTATATATATTGCTGGCTGCCAAGCGTATAGCGTCCCGGAAAGCATATAAAACCAGATATGCACATGGAAATCGAATCTGCCTATCTGCCGTCTCTGACCCTCTCGTGTATATATAATATACTTATAAGCATAGTGCAGACACTTCATTTAAAAAAATCCCATGAGGCCGAGTGAATGACAATATATAGGACTACAATACTATTTAGCTGCTTTTCAGACCAAATTACATACACTTGTAAGGACGGGACACGGTGTTCAAGGGTTTTCTCGACATGTATGAGAAGATATTCTTTCTTAAGCACAAAGTTGCGGGACTATCTACTCACCGTAGGCCGAGTTTTTTTTTAACCTGAAAACAGCTGCGTGCTGCTGCATGTTGTTTTCAAGCAGCCGGCCGGCGGCTCGATCATATACATCTACTACTCTCTACGTCTTTGTTCAGTTGTACCTACACATGTTAGCTGACCCTAACCCCATATATATAGTTTATAGTACCGGTATATATATAGTTTACGACTTACGAGAGTTGTTATTATTTCCTTTTATGTATCCTGAACCCCCTCCCACTTGCTCCCTTTATCTCTCTTTGTAATGTACTTTTTCTAACTTGTCTTTAATAAAATACCAGTAGAGGTACACCCCTCCTGATTAACGTCAAAAAAAAGAGTTGTTATTATATTCGTTAGCAGCCTCCTGACGATGGTCAATTTATTTGGACTTATCTCATCAATCTCAGCTTCCGATTTTGCTAGAAAAAAAAATTTCTCAACTTGCAAAGATTCTTTTAGCAACGAGCGATCTCTCTCAGAGAACCGAAGGAACTATGTGTACATATATACATATACTGACTACTCTTTTCATCCCAAAATATAAGTGTTTTTATTTAATCTGTTCAATCAAACTAGTCTAAGTTTGGTCATGTTTATAGAAAAGACATCAACATTTTGTGATACCAAGGGACTGTTTGGCAGGGCTCCTCCGGAAAAAGCCCTGTCAAACGTTCCGTAGAAGGAGCCATTTTTCAGTGAAAAACAGAGCAATCCTGCCAAGCACCCTACGAACGAGAAACATTAATTCAGTTGTGACATATTTTGATATTTTACTTCTTTGACCACGCATGTGTTTTTGTCATGGCTGCGAAGAAATGCGAATACTTGACTACCACCTACTACTGCGTATTAGGCCTTGTTCAGATTGGGGTTAGGAATCAGTATTTGACACTGTAACACTTTCGTTTGTATTTGACAATTATTGTCCAATCATGACCTAACTAGGCTCAAAAGATTCGTCTCGTAATTTACAATCAAACTGTGTAATTAGTTATTTTTTTATCTACATTTAATACTCTATGCATGTGTCCAAAGATTTAATGTGATAGAAAGAGAGTGAAAAAACTTACAATTTAAACAAGGCCCTAGTAGCAAACTTGACGTTCACCAACCAGCAAGCTAAAAAATTCAAAGTTCAAACAGCAGAAGATAAAAATAAAATAAACGCATGAGGCGTGACCAGGGAGGGGCTGCTATTTGTGCCAAACCAAGCTGAAACGAGAGGCTGCTACTTTTCGGTGACCGTCCGCACAAGACAAATATATGCAAAAAGTCGCATACATGACTGGAGCTAGGCGTTTCTGCATTCAGATTCAGATTTGGTTCGCAAAAGGGGCAATTGTGTGACAGTGTCATTTCTGTTTTGGGTGTGATAGCGAGGGAAATTTATGGAGAAGATGCCTGGATTGTTGTTGCGGGCTGATAAACTTTCATGGGCCCGGTCAGCCCACTGCTTCGAGGCCAGCAGGAGCTTCCCTCCCTTCCACGGGCCATGGGCCATCATTCCCTGTCTGTCCTCTGCTCTCCCTCACTGTCGTCGACGGCGGCGGCGAACCAGCTTTGGCAAGCGGCGGTCATGGCCGGTAGCTTCCCCCTTCCCATGTCGCAGCACGATTCGTGTGTCAGCTTAGCGTAACCAAGGCTGCGCGCGAAGGCGTTGTGCTGCACGCGGCGATGGCGTCGGTCGACCGCCGAGGGACGAGCTACCTCCGCGGCGGCGTGGCGTACAGCGTACTGCTTCCCGCGGCGAGCCAGCGACGACGTGAAGCCCACTCCACTCTCGGTGAGCCCATTCTCGTTGATCCCACTGCTGTGCTGAAACATGGTTTTTTTTTTTGCTTGCTTGCTTGCTCGATTGCCTGACTACCTGTACTCTGAAATCTGATTGAACTGTCCTGCTAACCTACTGATTATATATGGTGGCATCTTGCTTGCTTAGCTCTCAGTGAGGCACTAAAGTCAGGATCATACATCTAGTGATCTAGGACAGCCACAGCAGCTATGATTCTTAAGTTGTTTCTTTATATGGCACAATCTATGTGGAGTATTCAGAAGTTCAGAGTCGCGTTGCTCCTGTCTCTGTCTGTCGTATGCAAACAACTGGCCTGGTCTGATTCACACTAGCTTGGGCCCTCCTGTATTCACATAATCACGTGTGACTGAATGTATGATGGGCAGCCTAGGTTCTGTTGCTCTGTCTGACTGACTGTCTTCCGCAAGCAGCTGGTGTCAAACACACCTACTACTTGAGTCCTTGCCTTTTCACATGTAACCTGGATGGAATACTCCATTTGCATCTAGGCGATAATACCCTGCGCGTTGTGGTGGGAGTTATTAGAATAAATTGTAAATTGATGATTGAAGATGCTCCACAGTCAGGTATTCTTATGCGTGTGAGATAGAAGAATCTGAATCTGCAAACTCGAAGCTGTTCTGGACGATATGCCCTTTTTACTAAGTAACAGATAATCATAAAAAGCACGCCTAGACGCGTCTAGTCATGTTATATACTGAAGAAATTCTTATACTCATTTACTCCTTGCTAATATACAGCTTAGCTAGATTGATTGCTTACCGTACACTGACTGATTACAGCAATTTGAAAGTCAGTCCAAAAGAATATATTTGTTGCAACTTCTGAAATGCACAGGCCTAACGTAGGGCAATTGAGGGAGGGCCTCTGGAAAAAGTCAGACTTGAGCTTGGGGATACATTCCCTACACGGCTTGTACATCGGTGATGTATCTTAGAGAGTGATCTTCCTGTAAAAAAGTATTAACCTCATTGATTTGGAATTCTGTCTCACTTTGACTTTGGCAGTTTGGCTATGCTGGAATTAGGTGCTACTCAGTGGCATGTATATCATCGCAGGGATGGATGGGCGATGGAAGGGAAGGATTGGGATTTCAAGGGACCAAACATGAACTGTGAACACTGGTGGAGCTGCAACAAATTGATAAGGCGGGGCGGGGAGGGGGGGACTCTTGCCTTATGGATTGATAGACTAGTATTATGTAGGGTGCCTATATGGTTTACTTTTAGTCAAAATCACTGTTTTTCAGTTTTTGGGGGTGCATTTGCAACCCCCCTAATTACACTACACCTTCGCCCCTGACCATGACAGACTATTTCCATTGTGTGGGGAGGAGGAAGGCCACATGACTTTTCAGATGGTTGCTTTAATATGTTTGTTTGGGAGTCGGCGCGAGAGGGTATGGAATTCAAAGGGATGATGAATTGAGAAGATGATCGGAGAATGAACAATCACAACTGATGTGGCTTGCTGAGAATCCTGAGAAATACTCATTAATGATACATAATGGGTTCCTTCTATACAAGATATATAGATATAAAGTACATGTTCTGAGACAGTATACCATTTGTACATCATATACAGTGCATACTCTGACATTGTATGTCATTTGTACAAGAGGTAGCCATACAGAAACTCATTCCAGACATCAGGCACACCAGGGAGGCACCAGTGCATGCAATCCGCATAACTGGCTGGGTTTGTGATCTGTTCTGTCGTTAGAGGGGCAAACTGTTTGCTAAACACCGTGGGGTGCCCATCCTTACGGTAGTCAGACAACTCCGTGATGTTGAGTATCTGAATGTGTATGCCCTTCTCCTCTAGTGTCCCAAAATATGACTTAGCCTTCTCCATCATACTGTAATCTGTACTTGCTGCTTTGTATCCGACTTTGTAGATCGGTTCTGTCTCATTGAGACATTTGTTACTGTTTTCTCCACCCCAGTTGCTAGCCCTGAAATATAGGCATGTTGCACCACTTTCATGTTTCATGTAGATGGTGCTATATTGTGCCATTATTTGTGTTGGCACAAGATGCAAGGGTAGCGTTCATTCTCACTCACCATGAATGTGTAGGTGAAGATCCAGCAAAAATATTCTAGTCCTGTTCTTGTCAATATTCTCTCCGAGCCATTCGGTCAGTTTCTTGAGTGCTATCTCGAAACCATCTATCATTTCTACTTTGTCTAACCTTGCATCACCACTCTCAAATGAACCGTACCTGCTCATATCCTCATATTCATTGCCTTAAAAAACTTTTGTTTGCTTGTATATGATCAGTTCTCAACTATGTGGAATTGGCAATGTGTTAAGATGAGGTTGCGTGGCCTTGCATCACCTCACTTATATGAGTAGAAGTAAAGGAATGAACTTACATGACCTTCATCCTCATGTCAGCCTTATGCTTCCTCCGCCACACATAAGAATTGAAGATTATGATGTCAGCATCCCTCCAAGCACTGGCATGCTTCTCAATTCTGTCTGCCCTTATGATCCGATACTCCACCCTGTGGCCAATTGGATCGTCGCTGTTGGACTCCAACAGCAACGGTGACCAGTAGAAGTCTATGGTTGCATTGTATTCCTAAAATCTATAAATTAATACGTTTTGCATCTGCTAATGGAAATTGTTGGTTTCTGTAAACTGCAGATTTATGAAGGAAAACATACCAATGCCTTGAAGGAAATGAGTGAGCCATTGAAGGTGCGCATCTTGTGCCTAGCATCAGGTATAGAGGCCTCCACCATGCACACCAGCGAAACCCATTGGTTCCTGTTGAGTGAGTCACCCACAAACACCAACCTCTTGTTCCTCAGCTTTTCAAGCAGCCTGATGGCATTGAATCTGTTTTGACCCAAATCCAGATGTTGTGTCATAAATACCATGCACCCTATACCTTTTATTTTCAAAACTTTGGACGCACACTGTAATTTGGTCAATAACTGAATGTTATGCTGATTTGATCCCTTTTTTTTTAGCCCTCTAGGCTTGTAAAATAGAAGAAACAATAATATAAGGAGATGGAATTTTCTCCGATGTTGACCTTTCACTGTGAATTAGTACCCTCTTGTGTTGGTTTCTGGTTGGCCTCCCAGCTATCAGATCAATTTTCCAGTCTTAACAAATACATTTTTTCTCTGCAGTACTATTCCCTGTTTTCTGTTTCACTCATGGAGCATGCAAATGTTTCTCGAACACGCAGGAGAGCTGCGTATCATTGTATTAATAGTAGTAGAAGAAAGAGTCATACATAGACTCACACCCACACACCCACAATAGATCCTCTGGAATCTAATCACCCTTTACAGATAGAAAGGCGACCATTATAGGAGTCCAAAACCTAAGCCTAACCCACCCCTCTGATATCTGGCGGGGGGAGACCCTTGGCTCGTGCCAATCTCCACAAAAGGGCCTCCTCCTTGGCCAAAACCAGGGCTGTACCCAACCTGGGTGAAGCTCCATTGAACACACAATCATTTCGGTGTCTCCAGATAGTCCAGGCTCCCAGGATGATAATCGAGTTCAGTCCTTTGCGCACCTCACTGTCCACACAATTCTCCACTTTCCTCCACCAGTCAATCAGGGCTGTATCAGATGGCTGTGGGGCGAGGACTGAGAGGCCTGCATAATGCAAGATGGAGTACCAGAACTGCCTAGTGAAGACACACCCAATGAGGAGGTGCTGAATGTTCTCTTCTTCTTGGTCGCAAAGCGGGCATCTAGCAGGATGCGGGAGACCTCTCCGAGCCAACTTATCTGCAGTCCAACATCGATTGTGGGCAACCAGCCACATAAAGAATCGACATTTGGGAGGTGCCCAAGTTTTCCAAATGCGTGCATATGGCTCAAAACGGATAGCCCCCTGAAATTGAGCCTCATAGGCCGATTGCGCTGTGTACTGTCCTGATGAGGATAGTCTCCAGATGTGTTTATCAGGGATTCCTTGCTGAAGTTCCACCGCATTAATAATATCCCACAACTCTAGATATTCCCATAGCGCGTCAATGGTTATTTCTCCCTGAATATCCTCCAACCAAAGATCATTGTCCAGGGCATCTTTAACAGATCTTCTGTTTGCTCTTCTCCTTGACACAAAGGCAGATAAACTGGGGCAAGGTTCTAGATGCTTTTACCATCTAGCCTGTTATCCTTCCAGAATAAGGTATTGGCCCCATCTCCTACCTCAGTGACCACAGCCATCATTAGGAGACATTCAACTTCTTTGCTAGTCTGGAGAGGCAAACTAGCCCAAGGTTTGTGAGGTTCAGTTTTCCTAAGCCAATGCCATCTTACCTGCAGTGCAACTCCAAGTGCTTTTAGATCAGAGATTCCCAATCCTCCAAGCTCCTTTGAACGGCACACCTTAGGCCAAGCAATAAGACAGTGCCCACCATTTGCTTCTTTACGACCGCGCCATATAAAGGCTCTTCTGATCTTGTCAATAGCTTTAATTGCCCATGGGGGTAGGTCAATTGCCATGGCCAAGTAAACCATCATAGCAGTGAGGACATGTTGGACCATCACAACCCTTCCAGCCCGAGTCATCAAGTCAGCTTTCCAACCAGGTAGTTGATCCGCAATTCTGTCAATAATGGGCTGGAATTGACCCCTGGTTAACTTCTTTGTTGAGAGAGGCAATCCAAGGTACCTGCATGGGAACTCTAGCACTTCACACGGCAGTAGGTTCTGTACCAGGCTCATATTCTCTTCAGAGCAGTGAATTGGCAAAACATTGCTTTTCTGCACATTGGTCTTAAGCCCCGAAGCATCTCCAAATAAGTCAAGGATTCTCAAAGATAATGAAATATCTGCTGCTGCCGGCCTGAGAAAGAGTGCTACATCATCAGCATATAGTGAGATTCTGTGTTGGAGAGGTCTTCGGGATAATGGCTGAAATAATTCAGCCTCTGATGCTCTAGTAATCATCCAGTTCAAGACATCCATGACAAGTATAAAGAGCATTGGAGATAGGGGATCTCCCTGCCGAAGTCCTCTCCTGTGATGTATAACCTTTCCAGGGGTTCCATTAAGGAGGACTTGAGTGGATGATGAAGTCAACAGCCCACATAAAAGATCCCTCCATCTTGAGCCAAACCCCAGTTGGCCAAGCACCTCCATTAGGAATGGCCAAGAGACGGAATCAAATGCCTTTGTGATATCCAACTTGAGGAGAATGCTAGGCTGTTTTTGAGAATGCAAGAATCTTACTGTCTGTTGCACCAACATGAAATTATCCTGGATAAACCTTCTCTTGACGAAGGCACTCTGGTTGGGGGAGACCATTGCATCCAAGTGGCCAGCCAATCTGATCAGCCTCTGCTCTTTTTGGAATCAAAGAAATATAAGCAGAGTTTAGCATGCACAAGTTTCTGAAGTTTTTTCCCCATATAGAATGCAGGACAGCCATTATATCTTCCTTAATGATTGGCCAGCAGGTTTTGTAGAATCTCCCTGTGAATCCATCCGGGCCTGGGGCCTTATCAGACGGCAAATTTTTAATGGTGTTCCAAACTTCCTCCTCCGTGAAAGGAATGTCTAGGGCCTCGAGATCATGTCTAGGGATGTTCAGGGCATCTAGGTTGATGGTTCTGACTCGGTCATTATCAGAACCAATTAGATTAGAGTAAAACTCAAAAATTGCAGAGGCTTTCTCCTCATGGGCTGTGATGGTCCTGTCCCCCTCCCTCAACTTTGCAATGACTGCTTCCATAACAAAATTACTAACCTTTTAAAATTCATAAGTCTGACACTGACACAGTTTCTTGTTCTAGTACTGTACCTTCAGATTCGCTCGAAGTTTTGGGTTGACAAGAGCAAAGTTGAGCTAGAAATACTCCAACTCTACTAGGAAAGTTTGTACCTTGGAAGGTGGCATCTGTTAGGCTGCCATCTCCACTGCTGGTACATGACATCCTTCCTGCCGTATTTGTCACAAGCAACCTCAGGGAAGATGAAGGCACACTTGAGCCCAGAGTACAAAGGACGGGACATGTTGTCGTAGACCCATCGTCCTGTGGACCAATTGCACTCCTTGGTAGCGTCTGGGAGCTCAGCTCTTGATTGGACCTGTGCCTCTTTCCCTCTTGGTTGTTTATGGTGATCAGCTGCCACCTCGTCCTGTATTTCTTTTAGTTCATGCTTGACCGCCATTGGTGGTTGTACTTCGTGGCCTTGGTAGAACAAGAAGGTGATGAAGATGACAATGACGGAGAAGGCAACTAGGGAGTTGATGCTCCTCAGTACAACCTGAGAATTGAGAACCGTCATCTTGGGGGTGGATTCTGCTTTCCTTCAGAAAACCATGGTGCAGTGCATGGCCCCCTCTTTTATTGTGCACCTCCTTACATTAACAATGGGAGCACTACTTCTGCACATGGGTAAGTGGTCCAAATTTGCTTGTAATTAAGCAATGACCTGAACAATAACCATGGGTTATCCATATGGAGGGAGGCAATGTCTGATTGTTCAGTATGTTGGACGTCTGACCGCCTTGCACGTCGTGGAATGCCTTGCCCAGAATGCTGTCCACTTTGTGATCAAGAGGAGGAAACAATCAACCATCTCCTGGTTGAATGTGTCTTCGCTAGGGAGTTTTGGTTTAATTTGCTGCAGCAGGTCGCTCTCCAGGCCTTGTCCCCACAACCTACTGAAAACTCATTTCTTGATTGGTGGGAGAGAGCTAGTAATGCTACTTCTAATATGGTTAGGCAAGGGGTTAATTCCCTAGTCATTCTGGGGGCCTGGATTCTTTGGAACCATCGTAATCGTTGTGTTTTTGATGGAGCAGCTCCTAGTGTTGCTGGGGCTTTAGTAGTGGCTGGGGAGGAGCGCCGGTTGTGGACCACGGCAGGAGCTCGTGGCCTTTCCCTCTTGTCAGCCCATCTCCCAGGAGATTAGTGCTTTGGGTCTGTGTGGGTCGTTTTGCAGCCAGCTTAGGTGTGTATGTGCTTTGGCTGCTGTAGCGTGTGTTGTGTGAGTGAGTTGTGTTTGGGTGTCTTGTAAGTGTTGGGTTCTTATACCCTCTTTCTTCTTAATACAATGAGACGCAGATCTCCTGCGTTTTTCGAGAAAAAAATGTTTAGTATGTAAAGGTGAAACAGAAACCTCTACCATCACATGAATGTTTTTCTAATTAATTTAGTGTGAAAGGTATACATGCATCGGAGTCCAATCTTTGTGAATGGTAGTAAAGAGGAATGCATCTTTTTTAACATGTTGGTGCATAAAGTATAAAGTTTAGTTACAGATCATTTTACAAATCACCATATTTAAGCATGCATCAAACTGTTTTGGTTCTGAATCTTAGATAATGCCATGTTAGGTGCTAAATAGTTGTCCAGTTCCAGCATATGGCTACATGAGTGACTCCAAAGACCAAGTACAGGGTTTGGTGCTGTTTGCTGTGCTTGATTTTGCTATATATCCCGTCAAAACCATTGGAAGTTTATTTCTCATGTAGGTGCATGGTCTTGCTTGGTTGCATCGTTCCACCTGTATTAATTTGAACATTTTATCAGATTTTGTTTCTTTCTGGCAGGCAAATTAACTCTGTGGAGAATAGATGATGAGGAGCAGCATTCAGAAAATCATTTGCATGCAATGATGGAGGTGTAGAGTGGTACAATTGTTACTGATCTTTATGTAGCTTATGAGATGAGGGAGCCTTAAGATGAATGGATGCGCACACAGTAGCAAACAGCAGTGGTTAACTTGGACGGATTATTGGTACCTCATAACTGTTAACCTAATGCTTGCTGCTCCACATGGTTCCCTGCTTCCAGAAAGTCCAAGAAGAGTCGGTACAACTGCTATGGACATTTGCAAGACTGCAAGTATGTTCTTGTGATCTTGTCTGAGATGTAGAACCATGTGCAAGATAATAATCAAGTGTGCTGCTTCAGGTAGCTGCAAAGGCAAGTAGCGGTTGTACACTTTCCGGTAGCGAAGAATGAACTCTGATGATGCCAAATATAGTATGCACTGAATACATCTATCGCCCTGTACTATAATGTACTTCATTTTAGATTTTTACAGACTTGATGGCACTTGTTCCCCATATTCTCCGGTTATATTGCCGTTGCTAACTTTAGAGTGCTCTCTCCCTCTGTCTCTCTCTCATCATGAATAAACGATACATTTGCAATTCTCTTCTGAGAAAAAGAAACGGCTGGCATTCGCAAATTATCGCAATTCGAGTGCGCAAATGCACACTGCACATGCAATCTATGTTCCTGGAATCTCTTTTATTAATTACTAAAAGTAACTACAAAAACCTGTTAATACTAACTTGCACCCACCTAGCCCAATTTTTGACTGAATTTTACATATAGGTTCTTCACTTCATTTAATTACAAGTGCTTATACAGAACCTTAAGTATCAACATGCGGGCAACCGCGCAAGGCAATTGTTATCGTAGAACTAACAGTGTTGCAGGTACATCAGTCACCACAGTGCAACCACACCTTTGTCAAATCTGTTCACCGCCGAGCATCTTCGTCAGAACCTTTTACCCATGTGATGATGAAAGTATGGCCTTGGAACTTCCAGGCAAGTTGTTGTAATATCTGAAGGCACAATGCGATCTATACATCCAGCACTTTCGCATATTGAATGACCAAATTTGCTGCATTCATCTCCTTCCTTGCTTTAGTCTGCAAAATGGCAATATTAATACAGCCCATCGTAGCTAGAATGCAAGGATTTTGTAGGCAACAGTGTAATTCCAGTGGGAGTAATGTGAGATTTGTGTGTTCAAAGGTTAGAGCAGTGTTGTTTCGAAAGAAAATTCATTTAGTTTGTAAATTGATTGGTTAAAATAAAATGTTTTACATTAGTTAAGAGTGTCACAGACCAGTTTAAAATACTATGCAATAGATGATAAAATCTGAACCTTTATGGTTGTATTTCTCAAGGCTTTGTCCATCTCCTCGAACACATCCTTTATGGTGGGGCGCCCTACACTTGAACTCGCAACACAAAGAACTGCGATTTTCAGTATTAACACGAAATCTTCTATGATAACATCATCCCTAACACGTGGATCTATGAATTCCTCCAGTGGCTTTTTCCCACTCACGACATCCTTGGCCTTCAGATAAAAAAATGAAAACTTAATATTGTCAAATATTTAATAGAAATAAGGAATGTGTTGATAATACAAGGGATCATAATACCGTAAATGAACATAACCAGGCCTTGCTCAGTAGACATGAAAAAAATAGCTCCTGCTTCTGAAGTTGTAGAATCATTGCCACATGCTTGGCATATATCATCTGAGAAATAGATGATCATACATTTTTACCTTCTTTGTTAGTGAATCACGCGCAACAATGTTGAGTTCTATGACCTTCCTTCCTGACAGAAGCTGCAGAGAGACAACACCAAAACTGTATATGTCACTGGCGCAAGTGAGCTTGGAGTGTGTGATGTACTCGGGATCCATGTACCCAATGGTTCCCCTCACATCTGTGAACACCTTGGTCTCCTCCATTTCTAGCATTTTTGCCAGCCCGAAATCAGCCAGCTTTGGCACCTTGTTCTCTGTCAGCAAGATGTTTGTGAGCTGCAACAATTCCAATAGCAAGAGCACGTTATGGTTCAGAATGGAGTAACCTCACGTTATTAAGCCTGCAAATTTCAACTAGCATTATTCTCACCTTGATGTCTCTATGGACAATGCATTCATCAGGGTGTGTGTGAAGAAACCTCAGGACAGATGCACAATCCCTCAGGATCTTCACTCTTGTTTCCCATGGTAGCGCAGAGTCACTTCCTACCAATCAAGAACAGAACATTGTTGCATTAGTTTCAGAATCAACCAATCGAGAAGTGCTAGCTACTAGATGATGACCTCAAATAAAGCTGAATATATCTATTTCCCTTACTCAATAGGTTCTGGGCAAGGTTTCCATTGGCACAGTACTCATACACCAGGTACTGATCTCCCTCCTCATCACAGTAGCCGAAGAGGCACACCAGGTTGGGGTGCCTCACCTTGGACAGCTGCTCCACCTCCCTCATGAAGGATCCCAACATCGCCGTCTTGTGGATGTGCTTGATTGCGACAAGCTGGCCACTGGGTAGCACCCCCTGGTACACCTGACCTTCGCTACCGGAGCCAAGGTATATCCTGCTGCTCGCATAGTTGATCGCTCTCTCGATCTCCTCCTTGGTGAATTTGTACAAGCCTGACCACTTGCTTTTCACCTCCCCTTTATGTACCCTGTAGTTGCCTTGTGATGATTTTAGAGGGTGTTTGGTTCTTTAGTCGCTCCTAAAATTTATGTCACATCAAATGTTTAGAGGCTAATAAAGAGCATTAAATATAAATTAATTACAAAACCAATTACATAGATGGAGGCTAATTTCCGAGACGAATTTTTTAAGCCTAATTAATATATCATTAGCACATGTTTACTGTAGCACTACGTTGTCAAATCATGGACTAATTAGGTTTAAAAGATTCGTCTCGCAAATTAGTCGCAAGTTGTGCGATTAGTTTCGTAATTAGTCTATATTTAATACTTCATACATGTGTCAAACATTTGATGTGACAGAAATTTTAGGAGGAGCGGAAGAAACCAAATAGGCCCTTAGTGATGATTCTGTAGTGGTTTCGTTTGCTTTCTTCCTGTCCCTCAGGTATTTGGTGATTGCGATGGCGATGCCGACTACTAGGAACGCAAAAACTATCAGGACTGCAAATGTGCTACCTGAAATATAATTTGTGAACACGTAATGTAAAGATTTTTTAGTGTCGATGAATGTTGATGAGGTGCGCAGCGTGGATGCATAAAACAAGGGCTTGGACTTACGTCTGACCATGATGTATTCACCATCTGCAAGTTTAAGACAGATTTCATTAGATACAAAATAACTACATAATCAAAATGTAATTTGAGAGGCATGCCATGTTAAACTGCGCCTATAAAAGGGAATGGGGGAGTATTAAAAAAACAAGGTGACTACAAATCTAATACACCCTTTGAGGTTACCTGAGGTCAGCTAATTCAATCTTTTACTACTATATAATTAATATTATGTATTAAATATAGCAAATTTACAAAACTACTCCCTCCGGTCCTGAATAAATCAATTTATAGAAAAAGCAACAAAACTTATTGTCGGTATTTTGGACCGGGGGTCCTCAACCGACTAGTGAAAGTGTACTGCGTGTTCCTAATCCCGGATGGTGATGCAAAGAGACACAATGTTTATACTGGTTCAGGCAATAAGTGCCCTACGTCCAGTCTGAGGGAGCGATCTTGTATTCCTTGCACCGAGGTGCTTGTAGTAGGGGCTTACAAGCAGGGCGAGAGAGGGAGCTAGCCCCAGGTCTCTATGAGTTGCCGTGTGGGTTGCTTGAGATGTTGATCTCTTGCAGTGAAGTAGTGTGCGTGTTACAGAGTGTTGTGCGTGGCTTGCACCAGTCTCCTCCTGCCTAGAAGCGGCCCTGGTCACTCCCTTTTATAGTCGAAGGGAGGCACAGGGGCGGAACATATATTTGCTATGTGGCGTTCTTCGGCAGGGGCGGCATGTCCGAGCCCTGCAGCTTGTCACTATGGCGGCGTGGTTGGTGGAGCGGTCTTGTCCTTCGTGCACTGGAGCGACGCGCCGGTCACGCCTGATCCTGTGCGACGTGGGAGCTCCTGTGGTGGCAGGCGCGCCTTCTTCTGTTGGAGGCGTGCTGGTCACTGTATGTTTGACCGGCGCGGAGTGCCGAGGCCGGGTTGATGCGATGGCGCAGGTATGCTGATTCCGAGGCTACAGGAGCTAGGCCCTGTGCACGACGTGGGAGCTCCTGCAGCCCGACGCAGGGCATGGCGCGTACTGCGGGCGACGTGCCGGTCCCAGAGCGCTTACAAAGTAGAGAGCCGAGGCCCAGTCAATGCAGAGGCTGGACCGTCGAGGGTGGCTAAACGGGCGCGAGTCCCGAGGCTATAGGAGCCCGGAAGCGGGTAGCCGAGGCTCGGAGGGAGCAGTTGGCCTTGCACGTCGTTTCCGAGGCTACAGGGACCCGGACGTGACTTTCCATGCCTGAGCAGGGGTTAGGCAGCACAGTGTGGCACGGGTGTCCGTCGTGGGCACAGGCGCCAAATCAAATGACGGTAACCCCGCCCCGTCCCCTGTCTCTCGAATAGCATGGGGTCGATGTGACTCCGTCTTGTCGGCCACTCCGGCACTGCATCTGCACTCGTCGGCGGGCGTTGCTAGGGAGTGGTTGAACGTGTTAGTTGGAGGTGACGTCTCGTCAGAGAAGTCGGTCAAGGCGGCGGTCACGGAGTTGATGCCGAGCCGGCCTCGAGCGAGTCGGTAACTGGGTGCTTGTCCGAGGCCTCGTGGCGCGGGGCCTCGGGCGAGTCGGAAGATCGATACCCTCGTCCGAGGCCTTGCGCGGCGGTCGAGCCCGGATATTTGTTCGAGGTGGGCCGGGCGGTCCAGCCGGGCCTCGGATGTGGCAGGTTTGCCTGCGGTTGTATTTTGGTTTCGTTATTTATAAGGTCTAAGCAATTTTTTCGGTTCTTACTTTGGGTACCCCTTTATATGGTATCCGACAGTAGCCCCCGAGCCTCGGGGGGAGTGTGAGCACTCTCCCTGAGGTTTTGACGAGACTTGGCTCGCAGCAGCTCTCGTCGGGATTGTGTTTTGTGCTCGAGGCTCCGGTGGGTGCGCGCGAGCGCACCCGCCGGGTGTAGCCCCCGAGGCCCTAGAGGAGTGGATTTATTCCTCCAGGGCCTTTTTCCCTGTTGAGTGGGGGGGTTGTCGCGTTTGCCGAGCCCCCGAGTGCGAGTTCGGGTCGCTGGGCCTCGGTTAGGTCGTAGGAAGAGCCCCCGAGCCTCTGCTCGGAGCAAGAGGGCGGTCAGGAGTTTACCTGTCTTTTTTGTGCGGCCCTCGCGCATCCTTTTCGCTTAGAAGGAGGGGTGGAGTATGCCAGGCTACCCTCGGTGGGCGAGCAGTGACACCTCCGATGAGTTGTTATCGGGTAAGTCCAAGTGGAGGCCCATGCCCCATTCAATAGGGGTCGGCTAGCGGCCTAGAGGCGTGCTCCAAAAGTACCAGAGGGCTTCTCTAGTGGGTCCCAGGGACGTTCGATTGGCCCTGGGGGCTCGGTGCCTCCCTACGGTGGGATCCCATTCAGAGACCTCTCTGCCGGTCTCGGAGACGACTTAGGGCATCCCAAGCAACTGCTTGCTTGGGCCTCGGCCATGTACGGGCTCGCCCTTAGTCATCCCTGACTCTGTTTGTCCTGGGGCGGCTGTCGAGACCCTTGGGAGCCCAGCCTTCGAACCCTTGGACCGTAACGGGCTCGGTGCCCAGTTCCTTATGCGGAGCCCCCGAGTGCGAGTTCAGGTCGCTGGGCCTCGGCTTGGTCGTAGGAAGAGCCCCCGAGCCTCTGCTCGGAGCAAGAGGGTGGTCAGGAGTTTCCCTGTCTTTTTTGTGCGGCCCTCGCGCATTCTTTTCGCTCGGAAGGAGGGGTGGAGTATGCCAGGCTACCCTCGGCGGGCGAGCAGTGACACATCCGGTGAGCTGTTATCGGGTAAGTCCAAGTGGAGGCCCATGACCCATTCGATAGGGGTCGGCTAGTGGTCCAGAGACGCGCTCCAAAAGTACCAGAGGGCTTCTCTAGTGGGTCCCAGGGCCGTTCGATTGGCCCTGGGGGCTCGGTGCCTCCCTACGGTGGGATCCCATTCAGAGACCTCTCTGCCGGTCTCGGACACGACTTAGGGCATCCCAGGCTTAACCCCATCCCACTTGTCTTGGCGCAGGGTTGGAGAAGGAGGTCTCCCAGGCAGCCGAGGCCTCCGTCGTGGCACAGGCGGTGCTTGAGGCCGAGATCCAGGAGCACAACGCACTGCAGAGCGCCGTCCGTACCGCCTGCGAGGCCCTGGAGGTCGGGGGGTCGAGTCAGGCAGCTCCCTCGGGAGCCGCCTGATCGCGTTGAGCGGCCGCGTCCACGAGTGGCTCCGGGGGGCGCTGCATACGGGCGTCAAGCGCGCCCTGGCCGTTGTTTCCTCGTACTACGCCGGCGTCGACCTTGAGGCCGTTAGCGATGGTTACGTCGTGGCCGAGGATGACGAGAAGGCTGAGGAGGAGGTCCTAAAGCTGGTGGAGGCGACTGAGGCCCCTGGCACGGCGCTGGCCCGGCTATTCGAAGAGGAGGTGGTTCCTCCTACGCCAACCGCCGACGCAGGCGACCTTGGGTTTTGATTTGGGACAAAGGGGCCATGTAAATAGATTAGGACTTACATCATTGTACCATAACATTTGTGGCCATCGAGGCCTTTATAGTACTTGTGTATATATGTTTTTAATCATTTTCTATTACATTTCCGAGCCTCTGCCCTCTGTCTCGTTCTTGGACAAATGCAAAAAACTTCTTCGAGCCAAAGCGCCCCCTTCTGCAAAAAGGTGGTGAGGAGTTGCCGTAGCCTGCAGGCGTGAGGCCGTTCTCATGGCTCGGCCGGCCTTTTGGCCCCGAGACAAACTTTTGGTCCTTAGGTTTTTTACGATCGTTTTGTCAGAGTACGCGAGAGAGTTTGGCGTAGAAATTTTTCGAAGAATGACTAAAAACGGTGTCTGGGACTTAGGGGGGGCCTTCTAGCCCCCGAGGGAGGCTCGGTTCTGCAGAGGCAGAGCCGAGTCGGGTTCGAGTCCCACGGTGGGCGCCTCTGCAAAGGCAGAGCCAAGTCTCCCTCATAGCGTTATTGTAACGCCGAGCCCATATCGATGGGCTCGGGGGGTTTCTCGAAAAATTATAACAACTAAAGAATGCTTCTTTATTGTATTTCGAGAAACAATGTATATAATGCTTGGGAATTTAATGGTAGAAGCGACGTAGCTGTTCTATGTTCCAAGCGTTGGCCTTCCTGGACTTGACCATGATGTTGTCCATGTAGGCCTTGACGGTTCGCCCGATGTGCTCGCCAAAGACCTAGGTCATGCACCGCTGGTATGTGTCCCCTACATTTCTGAGACCAAATGGCATAGTCCCATCGTTGTCGTGGCGCCGTCGCCTGCTGACCACATCGTGGTCG